ATACATATGTATGTATGGTGTGTGTGCCAGAGAAAGTGCAGTTGTTAGTACAGTTCCATACTAAAACATAAAAGCCTCTTTGTAGATTTAAGGCTTGAATTTTAGTAGAAAAATAGAAGCCTTTTTGCTTTTGTCTTTCTGCAAGTGTTTTTGTAAGTTTATCATGTTTAATTTCTTTGTTGACTACTTGACAATATTAGTAATGCTGTTTGTTTTGTAAGCAAAAAAGAGAGTAAGTTTATTTCTTTAAATCACTCTTTGAATTTTGCACACTCTAATTAAAATTAGACAACTTTTATTTGTTCTAATTTTGTTTTGTGAAAGCATTACTCTATTTTAAATTAGTTAAACATTTTTGACATGTTTGTTATTATTGTGAGAATTCCATATAAATTCAATTTTATATTTGTAGTTTTTATCAGATTAAATAATATGTTTTATATGCAAATATGTATGTATTTTTAATTACATTTAATTCAATTCATTTAATATGATCAGTCGCTTAATTTGCTTTTTACAAAAACTGAAATCTCTTTTTGGTTTATTGACAGTAGGGGGTAGAGGAGTTATAAACCCACAAAACTGAAATAATAATGACATCATTTGGTAAACATTTTCATTTGCATTAAAATTCAACAAATGAAACAAAATCAACCACAAGCATGACATGCATACAATATGCTTTTCACACACACATTCACAATAAAAAGGGTAATTAATATTACTCAAAAAAAGCAGATAACAAAATAATACAACAACTATAATAAATTGGTCAATAGAAATAGAGTATAACAAAAAGGGAACACTATTACATGAAAGTGACCAAAGATAATGTAAATTTTTTTAAATATTTTGGGTTTATTATTTAGCAAAATCACTTTAATTATTGCTTTATTCTAAATTTAAAGCAAATATTGCTAACAAAATATAAACATTTTAAATTTATTGTTTTTTTAAATCTTCCCAAAACAAAATGTGAAATTTTGAGACCTTAGAACTCAACTTGTATATTAACAATTTAATTTCCTGTTATACTTTCTGAATGCTTATATCCTGTTCTATTAATTCACTTTTTGCGTCTTTTCAATCCTTCTAATATTTTAACCAAAAAACTTCATAAAACGTATTATTACTATTTCCGCAAAATAATTAAATATTAGTCATACGTTACGTTGTACCTGGAAAGTATATAAATGAAAATAATTGTGTATTTTTCAAAATACAAATCCCATGGAAATAAGATGTATACAATATTTATTGAGAACCTTTCAAGCTTTACGAAAATCTAACTTGTTAATGTATAAACTTTTCATAAGGAGACATGCAGCCTGTTAAACTTGAACCCATTGAAAGTGAAAAATTTTCGATTTTGTTTATCTTATGTAAATTATTGTTTCTATAAATGCTTTTCTTTTCAGAAAACTTAAAATCTAATACCTTTATGTTCTTAATACTCTGCTTGATTATGTGTATATCTTTAAATATTTCATACGATTAAAGTTTTTAAAATAAAGATAAGAAATACATAGAGATATAAGTATATATGTAAGTCTATGTATATGTATAAATTTATATATTTTTATATTTATCTATAAATAAACAAGACAAATAAAAAATAAATAAAAGGAAACGTATTGCAATCAAGTGTTTCCAGTGATTTTAAGTTTAAGCAACATTTATTTTTTGTGTATACAAACAGCAACAAATACTAAAGAGTGAAAAAAATGCTGGCGACAAGTGGATTTTAGTCACTTTTCAAAAGTTGCAAAAAAAAATAAAAATAAATGCAAACAAACAAAAATAATACTTTGTTTAATGGTGTGTGGCGAAAAAGCAGCTTCAGCAATAACAACGACAACAACAAACAATATTTTAGGGTACACAAGTGTTTGCATCCGAAACTTTTATCTAACTTTGTTGTTTTGCTATTTAACGTTGTGTTAGAAAAAGCTTTGCAAAACATATATAGGAAGAGGAATTTTCTCTCAAAGAATGAGATAGAGTTGGTTTTTGTAGCCGTTTTAAGTGTAATAGAGTTGTTGTAATATAAAATATCAAAGTAAGTGTGATTTTTTTTAGTTTTATGTAACTTTTATTTCTTAATAGCAAATTTCTTTGTGGCCACAAAAATGGTTTAAAATCTTAAGAAGTTAATAATATAAAGATTTCAGAAACTCATTCTTATGTATTCAGTTTAAGTTTCAGACTATAGATCATACTAATATACTGATTTGTATACATTTGAACATCATCATTAGAAGCTATTAAAGCATTTCTCAATACAACATTTTCTAAAGAAGTATTGATCTATTGATTAGTTCAACTCTTTCCCTCAGTTTCTAGTCCGCATATTCCACCAAAATATATTTTTAAGAATTAAATCTAACTTTATCATATTTGCGTATTCATTTAAAGCCAAATTTGAGCGAAATTCCTATAATTAGAAGATTTTAAAGTTTTGACTTTATAGTTAGTAAAATTTTGCTACCCTGTAACTCACAGCATACACAAACAGGGTGTCTATAACATACATTTTTGGAAAGCTTAAATCTTTGTCTATAATTTTGCATTACATAATTTTTCCATTAGTCTAATATGTTAAAAGTTATACAGCTAAAACAATATTTTGGAAACTATTGTGCAACACAGCGTATGATTAATATTTAATACATTCTAAGTAAATAAAAATTATACGTTTTTTGCATTCCTCGCCAAAATATTGATTATATGAATAAACTGTAAAAGAATTAAGGGCTTCTGAAAATTTTGTATACTAATTGGTACTACACATGTGAAACTGCAGGTTGACAAAATTACAAGAAATGAGTATATTGTTACAAAAAAAAATATTTACTTTATCTGATCCTTTTCCCAAATCATAAATTTCAGTTAAATTAGTAGAAATCAAAAGAATTTTCATCCGTACAAAGATTAATATTTTCAAAATGTCTCAATAATAACCCAAATTTCTACTAATTTTCTAAATGAATCTAGAGACTACTTTAATTAAAAAAACAAAATAGTTAAAAATCTCAACTATTTAATAGAGTTACAATTGTCAAAAAGAATTTCATGTTTAAATGTATATAAATAAAGTCATATATAAAGTCACACCATTAAGGCATACAAGTGCGGTGGCAATATTAGAAACACAGAACAAAATTTACAAAAACAAAACAGCAATAACAGAAAACTTTTCAGACACTTGAGTATCATCTAAAGCAGCACTTAAAAGTTAAAATATTTCCGAAACATTAACAGTTGCATAAATAACAGCAAACGTTAGCGGCGCGGCAGTGACAGTAGTAGAAGCAGCAGTATATTAAAAATCATTTACATATAACAGTGGGTGACAAAAGTGAAAAAACTTTAAATTGTTACATTCAGGGAAAAATATATATTTTGAAATATTTCAAGAGAAAAGTATTCAAATCAAAAAAGAGTTTAATGAATTGCAGACTATAGTTAGATTCTAAACACTTCTGTTACTAATTTAATAAAGCCAAAAGGATCTTCTAAAACTTTCCACAATTTTTTAATATTTTGAAACTATTTTGCTCATTACAGTTTTCTTTAATAACTGTATTTGGCGCGCTTTCAAACTCATATTAATTTTGCGAAATTACAAATGATTTCAGAACTGTTTAACTTGTTTTCCTATTTACTGTTTCTAACTTATTACTGACACCATCGTCAACACCATCCAAGCAAAAAAGTTCATCCGTGTTAAAATTAAAAGAGGGTGTAGAGCAGAAAAAAATTAAGTTTTGACAGAAAAATTCACTTACACTTACTGTTCACTTCTAACACTAATACAATGGCACTTACACATACTCATAGAACCCCTGCAAACATTTGGATGCCAAATTCCTGGAAAATTTTTGCAGACTCCACTTCAAGATGATAGTTAGAAGATAGTTTATAAAATGAAACTATATAAAAGGGTACAGATTTTAGAAAGAAGTATATTTGAGAAGTCTCTTCAACAAGTCTCATAAATAACTTTTAAATGCAGAATTGTTTATAGTTTATAGAAAATGTTCACTGGGATCATGTATAAATTTTGATTCTATATAGATTTTTAGTTGTTTTAAGGACAATAATAAAACTGGCGACAAAAACAATAAGAACAAGCCGGGAGCATAAGCAGCAGAAAAGTGCCGAGCTGTTGGAAAATAAATTAAATTAACAAACTTTGGATGTAATTTTCTTGGAAAAAGGACAAACTGAATTATACTTTCAAATGTGCATTAATCTACTTTGTACTCTACTAATGGCAAGAAGATCAACTTAAGTTGGAAAAGTGAAAAACGAATTCAAATCTCCTTCTTTTAAGGATTAGCTCATTCTTTTATAGATTATGATAGAGTATTTATTTGGTGTATATCCCTGTTAAGAGAATTTCACAAAAAACAAATATTTGCAAAAATGTACTTTCTAGAAAGTCAACTGTTATACCCTGTATCTAATTCTGTACTCAAACAGAGTATCTAAAACTTTATATAATTGAAAGCTTAAATCTTTGTCTACAACATTGCCCTACATTAACTTTTAATCAGTCTTATATATCAAATGATATACAGCAAAAACAAAACTTAGGATTTCATTAAGAACATAGTGCCACGTAACGTATGACTAATATTTAATTTTTTCAAATAAATAAAAATTATACGTTTTATACATTAAATATCTTCTAAACTAATACTAAATAAACTAAATATATTTTTTAAAAAATAAATTTGTCTTCAATTGCTAACTCCCGTAGCTCACACTTTTTTTAACAATTTCCAACTAAAATCTCCTTGAAGTATGCTACATTTCCTGCAGCATACTTTTCAATTAAATTAAAATCAATTTAACTCAATCCGACACGTAAAACTAAAATAATAATAATTTTTTTTCTTATTTTTTCGTTTTTACTCTCATTTTGCCTCAATTACACTACTTATTGCTGACCATCCAATAACAACTTGCATGTTTTCTTTTTCTACTACTTTCAGTTACAACCGTTGAACCGAACATGTACACAACATGCATACCCGTGGGTGGTGGTAACTATACGGCCGGTGGTGTTTATGCACCCACAACAATGGCCAATGCAACAACAGACACACTGGCATCTGGTTTCGAATCAGCTGGATATGCTGCCTATTCAACGGCTCTAAGTGTAACCATTGCCATCGGTTGTAGTTTGTTAATATTAAATGTACTCATTTTCGCTGGAGTCTACTATCAAAGAGACAAGACACGTTTGGAAGTGAAGACACTGCAGAAACAATATCAACAGCGCAGCATGCACCAGCAAGTGCCCTCGTATCCGCCAGATCCCATTAAACATGCTCACTACCATATGGGACACTCGCAGAGTGCTAATGTTATAGTGGATGTAGAAAATCATGGGGATCAGGGTACAATACTGCTTACAGCTAGTGATGTTAAACCACCACCGCCACATATGTGCAGCAATACAGCCATGCAATTAACACAGCAACAACAACAGCAGCAGCAACAACAACAGCATCAACATCAACAGCAGCAACAACAACAACAGCAAATGGTCTCAAATCCAAATGCAGCAGCCATGGGAGGCAATTCCAATAATCCCGCTAACAATACAAATTTATGCTCAGCTAAACAAACAACTGCCTTAAATACGATGGATATTAGCTCAGCTGGTGGCATGATGGGTACTAGTGTTATTAATAATGTAACTTACAGCACAACAACTAAACAACAACAGCAGCAGCAACAACAGCAATTACATCAGCAACAACAACAGCAACTGGCAGCTCAACAGCAACGTGAACATTTACAAATCAAAGGCATGTCTACAACCACAGTTAATGTGGGTAGTGGAAGTGGTGGCGGCGGAGGTGTTGGTAGCAGTGGTGTGGGTATTGGTGTGGGTCTTAGTGTTGCCTCCATGCAACCCAATAGCTCACAAACATTTGGACGTAATAGCACCACCGTCAACAGCAGCATGAATCCATCTACAACTTTAACATATAATAACGGAATGATGACGTTGCCAAAAGCAGGTACTCTGCATCATACAAACTCAATAAATTATGGACGAAATCCTGGAGGTGGAGGTGTTGGACTAGCAAGCAGTAGTATTAGTGCCGCATTACTAGATGGTCGTGGCAATATGTTGATGACCACTTCTAATGGTGGTGGCACAGGCCAGGATTGCATGACGTTGCCAAGAAATTTGTCTATGTCATCACGTCACAATCTATCTTCAGGTGAGTTCTCAAAACTAAAAAAACAACAACGACTAAACTGAACTAGGATCAAATAACCTTTAAACCAATTTTAAACATATGATAAGCATGTTAAATTGCTATGTGTGGGTTTAGTTGGTTGATTCCCTTAGGAAGTAAGGAAATAGTATTTATGAAAAATTACATGTTTATTGGTTTATTCCCTTTGCTACAGCATGATAAATTTTTATAAAGAAAACTGTTACAAAAACTTATACAATATAAATGAAAACTTAATTAATTAAAAGTTTTCTGTTTTTTCTTCTACTTTTCTACCAACAAACAGCAACACCTCTTAAGGGGAAATAAAACTTTTGCGTTTAAACTTTTATATATGTACATCACACAAATACACTTACTTCTGTATGTATGTATATCAGTTGTAGTAGTTGAACATGTAAGATTAATTTTGCAAAAAATTTATTTAAATGAAAACAAAAAGCATAATTAAATCCTTTAAATTACTTGTAAAAGCCTTAAAATGTTTTTGTGTTAAAATAAATAGTAGAGAAAATTAATTAAGAGAAAACTCATATACATATATACAATACATACTTATTTACAAACAGGCTGACAAAAAAGCACACTTTGTGCTAATTAATTTCGTTCAATTAGTAAAAGTTTTTTAAATTACAAAAAGTGCGAAATCATATTAACATTACTCCTTAACTACGGGTGAAGAAATTCAAACTATAGACTAGACTATAGACTAAACTATGGACTAGACTATCGACTAGACTAGACTAGACTAGACTAGACTATAGACTAGCCTATAGACTAGACTATAGACTAGACTATAGACTAGACTATAGACTAGGACTATAGACTAGGACTATAGACTAGACTATAGACTAGACTAGAGACTAGACTATAGACTAGAGTAGACTATAGACTAGACTATAGACTAGACTATAGACTAGACTATAGACTAGACTATAGACTAGACTATAGACTAGACTATAGACTAGACTATAGACTAGACTATAGACTAGACGATAGACTAGACTATAGACTAGACTATAGACTAGACTATAGACTAGACTATAGACTAGACTATAGACTAGACTATAGACTAGACTATAGACTAGACTATAGACTAGACTATAGACTAGACTATAGACTAGACTATAGACTAGACTATAGACTAGACTATAGACTAGACTATAGACTAGACTATAGACTAGACTATAGACTAGACTATAGACTAGACTATAGACTAGACTATAGACTAGACTATAGACTAGACTATAGACTAGACTATAGACTAGACTATAGACTAGACTATAGACTAGACTATAGACTAGACTATAGACTAGACTATAGACTAGACTATAGACTAGACTATAGACTAGACTATAGACTAGACTATAGACTAGACTATAGACTAGACTATAGACTAACTAGAGACTAGACTATAGACTAGACTATAGACTAGACTATAGACTAGACTATAGACTAGACTATAGACTAGACTATAGACTAGACTATAGACTAGACTATAGACTAGACTATAGACTAGACTATAGACTAGACTATAGACTAGACTATAGACTATAGACTAGATAGACTAGACTATAGACTAGACTATAGACTAGACTATAGACTAGACTATAGACTAGACTATAGACTAGACTATAGACTAGACTATAGACTAGACTATAGACTAGACTATAGACTAGACTATAGACTAGACTATAGACTAGACTATAGACTAGACTATAGACTAGACTATAGACTAGACTATAGACTAGACTATAGACTAGACTATAGACTAGACTATAGACTAGACTATAGACTAGACTATAGACTAGACTATAGACTAGACTAGAGATAGACTATAGACTAGACTATAGACTAGACTATAGACTAGACTATAGACTAGACTAGACTATAGACTAGACTATAGACTAGACTATAAACTAGACTATAGACTAGACTATAGACTAGACTATAGACTAGACTATAGACTAGACTATAGACTAGACTATAGACTAGACTATAGACTAGACTTTAGACTAGACTATAGACTAGACTATAGACTAGACTATAGACTAGACTATAGACAAGACTATAGACTAGACTATAGACTAGACTATAGACTAGACTATAGACTAGACTATAGACTAGACTATAGACTAGACTATAGACTAGACTATAGACTAGACATTAAAATTTTATGATAAATTTTCAATTTTGTATTAAGTTTCAGATTTGTACTAAGTTTCGACTTTTGTACAAATTTGCTAATATGTAAAACATTTTAGTTATGTACTAAAAAGTTGACTACAAAGTTTCAAAATCTTTCATAGATACTTAATTGCAATTTTCGAAAAATTTTTTATACAATTTTTCTTTTATATTTTTGACACTTTATGAAGATGGGTCAGCAGCAGCCATTATTTCATCAAATCAAATTTGAAACTGTGTTTTAGCTTTTTTATTCCTTATTATTTAAACTTTTTTAAACTTTACTACAACATAAGCATACTAAACAAAGTAGTTTTACTCTAAAATGAAAAAAATAAACGCATCCAAATTTGTTTAAAAAAAACAACAATAGCTAAAAAGAAAAGGATGATAATAATAAAATGATTAAAACAGACAATAGTTAGAAGCGACAAGAGACGAATGTCGCTGCGAAAAAAATTCACAACAGAAACGGAAGTTAAGTAAATGGCTTCTATTTTTCTACTTAATTCAAAAAATAAGAATATATATCCACAAAAAAAAACAACACACTTAAAGATAAAAAATCTCTCTCGCAAAAAAAATGTCTCCGAAAATAGGGACACACACAGATACAAACACACACATTTACAGATTTTACTTGATGAAAGAAGTTTTTCTATAGAAAAATTTAACAACATCAAGAAAAAAACGCACATTTTTATAACAAAACCAGAGAAAAACTTGAAAGAAAATGGAAATTGCAAAAAAAAAATAACAAAATAAATGAACATTGGCGGTACGACTAAAATGCCACACAATGTACGATGAACAAAAGCAGTAGATTCTTTATTTTTGTGTCTCTCTGCTTCATACACTTCTACCGGATATAATGAAATTACAAGCAAAACACTTTGAACCTGAAAAGGAAGAAGCATAAAGAAAATGGAATAATGATGGAGAAATTTTATAACAACAAAAAACCGAATTTATACACTCAAAGAATTAAGTAAAATTCAAGGTTGTTTCTTGGTTTTAAAAAAGAAAACTTGAAAATAATTGAATAAATTGACTCGAATTTTTGAGTGTATTCTAGTTACTACAAACTAGACTCGAGACCCTGGTAAGCATAGCTCTTGCATGGTAAAGGGCACATGCAGATGTATCAGCAACAAAAAAAAACCAGCAACAACATTATTCTAAAGTCAACAACAGCAGCAACAGCAATTGACAACCAAAATTGGAAGAAGAAAAAAACTTTTGCTTGAAAAAGTGGCCTTTTATGTCCTTAACAACGAAAATTACACAAAAAAAAATTGAAGAAGAAAAAATGCAGTCGAAGAGCAAGAAAAACAAAGGCAGCTGCAATTTAACAAAAAATCAAAACGTGTGATAATGTACAACGTTTTTCAATGGCTGGTAAATAAAATGATGAAATTTACATGCATACACGATTCTCTCTTAAGAAGATGACAAAATCTTTATATAAGAAATAAATTAAATAAAAAAGAATTTCCTAAACAAAGTAAACTATTTTCCAGTATCTGGTTTTGCATTTCAATCTATATTAAAACGATTGGCAATGGAAGCAAGAAAAACTAGAATAAGAACACACGCTCTCGAAAGGCAAAGAGTTTGAAAAGCCATAAATTTTCAAAGTTTCATTATGTTGATTTTTCTATTAAATAAACAAATTTCCGCTTTTTCTGCTGCTGGTTTCACATATACAAACATACTTTTTATTTAGTATTAAATTTTCGACCCTTTTTCTTTTTAACCAAATGATGAAATATAACGATCATAAAATTTGTTTGCAGAAAAGAATTTTGAAAACGAAGAAGAAATGGGTTTGAAAAAAATCTTTAAAAACCATTCATACGACAAGATGAGCAGAAGTGGGAAATAACAAAATGATTAGATTTTCCATTTTGTATTAAATTTTTCATGTTGTACTAAATTTTCAATTTTGTACGATATTTTTAATTTTGTACTAAATTTTCTATAAGATGAGCAGAAGTGGCAAATAACAAAATGATTAGATTTTCCATTTTGTACTAAATTTTTCATGTTGTACTAAATTTTCAATTTTGTACGAAATTTTTAATTTTGTACTAAATTTTCTATAAGATGAACAGAAGTATGAAATAACAAAATGATTAGATTAGATTAGATTTTCCATTTTGTACTAAATTTTCAATTTTGTACTTAAATTTTAAGTATTTTACTAAATTCTTAATTTTGTACAAAATGCTTAATTTTGTACTAAATTCTTAATTTTGTACTAAATTCTTAATTTTGTACAAAATGCTTAATTTTGTACTAAATTCTTAATTTTGTACTAAATTCTTAATTTTGTAATAAATTTTTAGTTTTGTACTAAATTTTGTAATAAATTTTTAATTTTGTACTAAAATTTTAAATTTTTTACTAAAATTTTAAATTTTGTACTAAAATTCTTAATTTTATACTAAATTTTTTATTTTGTACTAAAATTTTAAATTTTGTACTAAATTTTTGATTTTTTACTAAATTCTGAATTTAGTACTAAATGCTAAATTTTGTACTTAATATTCTATTTTGCACTAACTATATTTTAAATCTTGTACTAAATATTAAAGTTTTTACAAATTTTTTTTTTTTGTATTTTGTACTAAAATTTTAAATTTTGTACTAAATTTTGGATTTTTTACTAAATTCTGGATTTTGTACTAAATTCTAAACTTTGTACTTTGTATATTCCACTACGCACTAAATTTTAAATCTTGTACTAAAAAGTTTGTACTTAATTTTCCCTTTTGTACTAAATACAAAATTTA